ACCATAGCCCCAGTGTGAAATATTGTATGGGGCTCCGTTGAGCTGTGTTGCATTTTACAACTTGGCCCAGCCTGACTTTTTTATTCATCCTGACCTGCTCTATATGCCTACAAAATTGCGTAGCTCTAGGCCAAATGTGCTTTTGACAATTTAGAAGGTGGCGCTGTGAAGCAGTTTTTCTATTGAGGTGTGTATTGTTCTTCCAAATTATAAAATTTTTCACCGGGTCTGATGTACATGGGGAGTTTCCGAGTATGTTTAGGGCCTCAAAAACGCGTGTCTTTGGCACGAATAATAATAATAATCCGAGCAGTTCCAATAGGGTCTTCGCACCCTTTTGGGTGCTCGGACCCTAATAATAATAATAATAATCCGAGCAGTTCCAATAGGGTCTTCGCACCCTTTTGGGTGCTCGGACCCTAACAAGACAAATGTATCTAAGCATGTTTGCATTGCTAGATGCCACTTTTTTTTCTGATTTATTGAAATGACGCTTTAGTAGGACCAACAAGGCTGCTGTTTGTTGACTAGCAGGGTGTAGAGATGTCACTTTAGAGAATGTCAAGCCTGGACATCAACATGTGTACTCTACAAATAAACCACTAAATAGTAATTTCATTGTAAAATGAAACCTTTTCTAGTCTTTTTAATGTGATGAGAACAGTCGGTAGGTGGCGTTTTTGCTGAAGACCTGATTGTTGGTGAGTAACTTCAGGGTTCATTCACATGATTTAATGTACAATACATAAAACAGTAGCTCTCAAAAGCAACATATGAACATGTGTGTTAATCAGACCCACCAGATACAATGGTGGTCCAAACGCTGCACGCATGACCCACAGGTTCGACAGTGTCCGGCCCGAGGGGGTCGCATTATTTTACACACAGGACACCTGCTCCATTTCGCCATCACGGTCTCCTGCGATGCCTCTGAGGATGCCGACTGAACGGATCCATTAAGGTGTTCAGAGTCCTTTTCAGCCTCCTGACTGCGACTGTGTGCTTCATGCAGGGAAGCAGTCACAACTCCTGGGCCTCTCTTGGTGTGAATAAGAGACACGATAGTGAGAATCATGCCAGCGGTCACGGTGCACAGCTGCAGCTGGCTGATGTCCCCTCGAGGTAGAATCTCTGTGATGAAGAGGTAATACATGTGGGCCAGAGAGTAGAGGGCGAGGGTGAGGAAGAAGAGGGTGCGCCTCTTCTTCCTGTGCGTGGCGTAGTAGTACCACAGCACCAGGCTGGGCAGAGCCGTGAGGATGGTGATGCCCAGCAGGTAGTGCAGCGCTGCCACCCTCAGCAGGAGAGGCAGCAGCAGCAGGGCCGGGATCAGGGAGATCTCCAGGTTCTCCATCATGGCCCCAAACACTGCAGACTGACATCCGCTTTTAGGTGGTTTGTCTTTTAGCCACCTGCAGAGAAAAGTGGTCATCAAGTCAGAATTACAAAGAGTATGTGATGGTAAAAATGACAAATACAGACACTTTTTTAATTGGTGGAAAGGCATATGTTAGTAGTTTTCTAATGAAGCACTGTATTCTATTTATTGATGCTGTAGTGACATAATAGGGAACTTACAGTTTCTTTGTTTTTTACTTAATTGGAAGAATTTTTTTTTCTTAAAGAACTATTGGAGTTACATTTTCTCTTCTTCTCTGTGCTTTGTGTTTGTAGTAATTTGTGTCCAAACAACGTAAAAATAAAATGTGCACTTTTAAAGGAATATGCAACAACAAAAGCTCAAATAATATTGATTTTAAGTCTGGGCCCATTTACAAGACAAAACCACAAGATCACTGTACTGTATGTGGTAACTTAGCTGTAACCTTAAAGGAATAATTTGACATTTTGGGAAATTTTCTTAAAGTTCTCATGTCTGTCAATTTTACAAATAACAAGAGCCAGGAGAGCCTATGAGCATATCCAAAGCTTACTGATTCACACATTATATAAAAACAAAAGGTAAAAATGACAAATTTCCTGGACTGTTTCTTGGCAGGGAGACACTGACAGGCGACCAGCACAGATCCCAGGACTATTTCCAGGCTTTATTCTAACCAGCTGCTGGCTGCATATTTCACATTTCAGTGACAGACATGAGAGTGGTATTAATCTTATCTAACACTGGCCAGAAAGCAAATAAACCTAATTTACTAAAATCTCAAACTATTATTTTCTTTTATGATGTTTCCTGTATTTCTGGTTTTGCAGTCCAGCCTTGGGGCTTTTTTTTCTTGGCGGCCACATACAATAAAGCCACTTAAAGCAGCCATTTATCAAAAGTGCTACTTCTATGTGATTATGTAAGCAGCACTGGGCTTCTTCTACTTTCCAGTTCTTGATTATATTCCAGTATTTGTCAGTGCTGACCCTTTTCTTCGCACCCTTCATACCTGTTAAAGGCTTCGTCCAGATCTTCACAGTCACAGCAACATCCGTACTGGTAGATATCACATTCACAGCAACACATAGGATCATCTGGCTCTGGAGGCTTTAACTTCTCCCATTTCATAATGGCTTCCTAACGATGACTGTGATGTTTACGAGCTGCCAGTTTAACACAGAAGGCCGTCATTTAAAAACTTCAACCATGAATACCACAGCTGCAGCATAAAGGTTTGAAAACAATATCACAAATCCTACCACAGTCAATAACAACGGTCATAACAAGGAGATTTTATTGATTCCTTTGGTTACACACACATGCACACACAGACAACACACACATGCAAACAACAGTGATGGAATGTAACTAAATACATTTACTCAGTACTGTTCTTAAGTACAAATTCAAGATACTTGAGTTTTTCCAGTCTAATACTCTAATTTGTGTTCTTAGTATCCTTGTGTTCCTCTGTTCCTCTTATTTATATTGTGTATTTATAGTATATATACTGTCACTTTGCTGCTGTGACGTTGCAAATTTCCCCTTGTGGGTCTAATAAAGGATGTTTTATTCTATTCTATTCTATTCTATTCTATTCTATTCTATTCTATTCTATTCTTCTGATCCAGCAAATTTGGTGATTTTAATTTCTTAGTGATAAATGGAAGTATTACTTGGTGGGCTGGACACATTTTCCTACTTTTAAAGATATGCAAGTTTAAGACAAACAAACAAACAAACAACTCTCAGATTTGATGTAAAATGCAATGTTACAAAGCTGTCTTTATTTTTGAGCTCATGAAAAGCTGAATTTTTTTTCAGAAACATGGTTGTCAAAGGGCAACGATGCTACAAGTACATGATGATCCTATAGAATATGGTGCATTTCTTTAAATTAAACTATCCAAGCAGTAAATATAAGTTCAACTTTTAATGTCTCCAGCTTTAGAATGTAAGATACACATTTAATCAGCAGTAATATTAAGCTACATACATCATGTATAACAGTTAAACACTGACAAGAAACATTTTGCTTTTGCTACTTTGGGTAAATTCTGCTGATAATATTTAGATACTTCTCTAAAGTTAAGATCTAAATGCTTCTTCCACACACGTAGACACACATATACAGATCTGAACCTACTGAACTCCCCCCTGATTGCTTCTCCATATCAGAAAAGCAGTGGGAATGCTGACAAATTTAAAATCATAGTTCTATTTTACAAAAGAGCCCATATGAACAATGAGCATGATTAAAGGACACTTACTCAACGTGACACACGCGGCAAAAATACACATGAATGACAGTGACAGTGTCCAAGACAAACAAGGCATAAAAATAGTAGAGACACATGATGCTGTTAATACTGTGAGTGCATATAATGACTTACAAAAGCTTCATAATGCCACACGGTAACAATACAGTGTTACACCACACTGGACTCGACCTGCACTCGTGACTCTCGGTTTGTTATGAAAATTAATCATTTTCGCAATCAGAGGATTTTCTTCTGTCTTGTTGCATCCCCAGGAGTTTCTAATGCAATTTGTTGAAACAAGGCCACTGCGTCCGCTGGGACAAACTATCTGGGCCAGCAAACCTAAGACCTAAACTCTGAGATGCACTTGAGTTATTGTCAGTGTGCATTAATATTTCAGTGTTATTTGTAACTTGGGGTGACAGCCTTGTCGTACACAGCCTGACCCAAATGTAAACAGGATGCAAAAGAAAAAAGTATTAAACGTATGAGAGAAAAAATAAAAAAACACATCGCTGTCAGCATTTGTCTGCAGTAGCTTTTGTATGAATTTGAAACAGACGGCACATAAAACAACTCATTTAACACACATTTTTCTAGGTGTTAATTGGCAAAGAGACACATTCACAAAAGATTAATCCTTCCTCTGCTGACTTACCTTATGTCTTCAAAACAAAAACGCAAAACCATCGATATGTGTCAGATTTCCAGCCAAAAGTTATGCGTCTTCAGCAAACGGTGAAGAGAAAAATGATGAAGAACGATGACCCCTTGTCACCAAGCTCCTCCTGTGAGTGACTGAGGGAAGAAAAAAAAAATGAAAAAAAAAAAAATGAAAAGAGCAGCCTACTTTCTCATCAGTCATTTGTGTTGAAAAAGGAAATTGGCATGTTTCTGCTGTGGTGGTGCTGCGGCGACACCGTATCAGTGCAGTGGGATGGTTTTCATTTCTTGGATTCCCATGGTGGAAGTGTCCCAACAGAAGGCAACTTGAATTCCTCCTGACAAGTGGTTTGATATTGTGTTGCATCTAGCGGCTCGCCTGTCTTTCTCACATATCATTAAATAGTTCACAAGTCATCCTCTGGGATACTTCGCCTTCTTCTGCTTTGCCCATTTCACATTTGAATACTGGCATGGCTGGTAAATATAGGCGCTACCTCAATTGCTTGAAGGAGCCGGAGAGCCGGGAGTCTTTCATGCCTCTTTCCACGGCTGAAGTGGAGGGGGGCCCCTGTGTTGAGGTGGTCAAAAGCTGCAACCCTGATAATCCACGCTGAGCTGGACGAGGGTGCACATGAGAAACATGACGGGCACTCAAAGATGAGAAAGTGAGCGATGATCCACTGGACAGCCCCACCCTCTGGGATCACATTTCCTCCCACAAGCAACCTGACCTTACTGCTCACACACACACAGAGAACTCTGGAAGTGTGTTTGTGTGTGATCAGAGGCAGAACCAGTGGGCTTTCTGTGCATTCGCCTCTTTGTGGCAACACTGGATACCAACAGTGACAATGTGTTAAGTGACCTCTGCAGGGAAGTTTTCTTTCCCTCCTCCTCCTCCGACTCCACGGGGTCAAATACAAATCAGCTTCACTCACTCTTGCTCGTGAACACTTCAGCAGAGGTTGCCCAAACCTGAAACCAGCCTCCACTTCCTCACTGAGTCAGTAAAAAAAACATTTAAAAAAATATGACACAGCAGAATGGATGCAGTGTGGAGCTCATTGTGGTTAAAGGCAGCTTTTTAAAAAACAGTGCATCAAAAGTGACAGCTCAGGAGAACTGGGAAGCACACTGGCACCTTGATGATAGAAGGACGGACAAAACCTGAATTTGAAGAGTCATTCCTGGAGAGCAGAAATGATGCAACAATAACGACCTCTACTGATTATGATTTAAGTAAAGAAATGAGCACTTTGTCGTCCTCTTTTCTTTAGAATAAACATTTCAGCAGGTCAAAAGATCAAATGACACACAGGCAGCATTATTTCAGATATTATATCAAAGTGATGGAACCTGCTCTCCTCTACTTTTACTATCAATAAACCTCATCGTTTTGTTAATGCCTTCTCCCCACACACACATGTGCACACACACACTCTTCCCATCAGTCATTACAAATTGACGAATAAGAGAAAAGCAGGCAGGAGCATTTGAGGCTATGGTCTGGTATGTTCTTAATGTCTGCACTAGTGTGTGTCTGGATGGACCGAATCAATGCAGAGAAAAGATGCTGCTCTTGCTCCTGCGGGTTTCGCCTCCATTAGTCTTAATGGAGGCCGGAACCTGAGACAGAGGCCCTAATCTATTTTGGCGGATTTTAATGCCGGCGCAACCCACTGAACAGACAGGACCACGCTGAAGATTACGCATCAGCAAACCTGCTAAGATGCTGCACTTGCAGAAAACAGAACAGGACAAGTAGTGAACGGAGGAAAGTTGGGCGTGCTGTGTGACGTGTTTGATGATGAAACAGTCCGGTTCATGTACACTACTGTGATACAGTTTTAAAGGTACATCGAGCATGCTTTCAAAATAATACCATGACTATGTTTCTATTTGTCAACTGAAAAAGTTCAGTAAACAGTAAAAATAATGAAGTATCCTCTGTACACTCGGTGCACAGTTTTTTAGATACTTTGCAGGTTGGTTGTTTTAATCATGTTGCAGAACTTGCCACGGTTCTTCTGGTCGACTCTATCAAGGTCTTCTGTCTTTTCATTTAATCCAGAGCTCTGTGGGGGCCACACCATCTGTGGCAGGACTCCTTGTTCTTCTATTTGCTAAAGATAGCTCCTTATGACTCTGGCCGAGTGCTTATGCACGCGCTCGCTGATTTGTTAACCATATATGTATATCTATTTGTCTTTTTAAACAAGGGAGCTGCTATTAAATACGCTGTTGGTATTGATGTGTTATTTTATTTAGAAATTCTGTTATTTTAGGTGTTAATGTTGCCGTTTTTATTTTTAGGTAAGTTAAGTCACCATTATTGATATAGGTTATTTATAACAGCAGCCACTGAGCCAAAGCGCTTTCCAGTAGAGAAAGAACAAGATTGCCGTTATGAATACACCGAACAAGTTTGAATATCAAGGTTAAGATCCTACGGTGTTAGTTAATATGTGAATTTAACTGAGTAATATGAATATTACTGTTAAAAGCAAACAAAATTAAATATAATAGATTGTACTTTTTAAGAAGGCTTAGCTCCTTCAACATCTACAAGCCTCTTTTGCACCAGACTGTGATGGCCAGTGCACTTTTCTTTGGTGTGGTGTGTTGGGGGGGAGGGGGCTCGCCCTGCAGATAGAAACAGACTCAACAAACTGATTAAGAAGGTGAACTCCATCATTGGGGTTGAACTGGACACAGTTCAGCAGGTGGTCGGGGTGAGAATGCTCAGGAAGCTGTGAAGCAGTGAAGCCCACCCACTTCACGTCATGGAGGTGTTTTGGCAGAGCATCTTCAGTTACAGACTTTTTCCTCCAAAATGCAGGACTGAACGCAGCAGGAGGTCCATCCTGCCTGCTGCCATCAGACTTTATAATGTGCAAAAAAAACCCCACATGGCTGCATGACTGACACTTGACCCTTTATGTGCATAGGTTTTTAAAATGCATCTTTGCACAGTCTAACATTTGTACACTGCGTACCTATTTAGTTAACCATCTGTCCACTATCTATACAACGCTTAATCCTCACTAGGGTCATGGGGGGTGGAGTCTATCCCAGCTGACTCAGGGTGAAGGCAGGGGACACCCTGGACAGGTCACCAGTCTATCGCAGGGCCACACTTAGAGACAGACAACCAAGCAAACTCACATTCACACCTACGGACAATTTAGAATCACCAATTAACCTCAACATGTTTTTGGACTGTGTTTGGAGGAAGCCGGAGAGAACCCACACTGCACGGGGAGAACATGCAAACTCCACGCAGAAAGATCTCTGGTGTCCTTACCGGGACGTGAACTGGCGACCTTCTTGCTGCGAGGCAACGGTGCTAACCACCGCGCAGCCCCTGTTTATTTATCTTATTTTTTATTTTATATTGTATATTTTGTTTTAAATTGTATGTGTGCCTTCAGTGTTGGGTGTGTTGTCTGTGTTTTTTAAAGTAGCTGCTGTAACAAAGTTATTTCCTGTAAAAGGATCAATAAAGTAACTATCCTATCCTATCCTATCCTATAAATTTGCACGAACAGATTAAACAGTATTGTCATTAATTATGGAGATCTACTTGGCTAATTTAGAAAACCGATGTTAAGATTGTACAAGATTGTGCATGGACATCCCAATGAATCCAAAGATGACCTATTAGCCGTAGATGAGCAATAATGGAATGGAATGACTCGCTTTAAACAGGAAGAAACCTCCAGCAGAACTAGGCTCTGGGACATCAACCGTCTGCCTTGACTGGTTGAGGTGAGGATAAAGGGGAGAGACAAAAGTACAGCAACAGACCAGACAGATGGGTAGGGCCAGAAGCTGCAGACCTGCGCAGCTTCAAAGCCAGAAAAACCTGCAGCTACACAAACAGAGAGAGGACAGAGACAACAAAGAACACACTATGAGAGAGAAGTCATGCAACAGTGCTTAAAAAACAGGCAACTGATCGACAGTAAACAGCAAGAAGAAAAGAGTGGACAGGACTAGAGCAGGAAGAACAGAAAGGAATAGAAAAACTTTGATTTGAAAATATGGTAGGAAAGGTGGGACTAGCAGTATTTCAATTGCAATGTAGTAGTTTGGGGCATTAAGTTTCATTCTGCTGCTCCTGTGATGCAGGTGAATGGGAAGTTGTGAATATTGTCATACAGAATAAATTTGGAACCAAGACACCTCCTTGATTACACTGCATGAGAATGAAAGTGTGTTTGTACAGTAAAATATATACATATAGTGTTTTTTGTTCTGTTTTGGGCTTCTGACCAATTCTAAGTGGGTGTGATTTGGAGATCTCACACTTCCAATCAAAACTTAACAACAGTTGAGGAGTTGTTTGCTTATCTTTAGTGGTCACCGTCAATCAGATCTGGTCAAAGCACATCCACAGTCTTGGCAAAGCAGAGAACCTCAGTGTTCAACTCTGAATAAATAATATTTAAAGTGCTGATGTGTGTTGTTTTCTGAAACATGTTTTCAGCGAGTTATTCAAAATCAGGCACAGGTTTGAATTGTGAAAACAAAAGTTCAGAATCTGTAGAAAATGTAATGATTATTAAAAAGAAATGATTAAACAATTACTTGCATAAATAGACAATTTTGTGCCACAATCTAAGAGGCGAGCAGTAAGCTTGTAGTTTAAAGAATTCACAAATACTAAATATGTTGTTGGTGTTTAGGAAATGGATTAAAAAATGAAGCACATCATTTTTCAAATATCTAATTTTGTTGGAACAGTGCAGACAAGTTGGGTGTTTGGGGATTAAATATATCACACAGCTTAAACATGATATAGTTACGTTTTAAACAAACGTTGAAACCATTGAATACACAACATACTTTAGTGCTATTTGCAGTTTAATGTTGTGTGTAAAATGCTTTTTCCTTTTATGGGACGATTTCAAGAGGTTAGTAAAGATCCTTTTTCACCCTGTAGTGTTCAGTCTGTGTGTGTGTGTGTGTGTGCGCCACCTAGAGTTGAGTCCTTCACTGACGACGACCAAAGCTCGATTCATGTAGGAATAAAGGTTACTTATGGAATTAAATCTGCAAAATTCCCACCTGAAAAATAAACATTTTGAAAGCCGTATAAATTATATTTTACTGTGTCAACTCCAATGCAAGTCACAGAGACTGAACTGAAGACAAAATAATTATTAGCATGAAATATATAAACCATAAGCGACACAATCAACTTGTCTTTTTTTTCGTAACATTTATTTCAGGACACAATAACGTACCATGAATATAATATTGAGACATCTGTTACACCACAAACTAACAGATTCATTCATTCACATTTATACATAATATCAAGTAAATAGTCCACAACATCACGATCACGCTTAAGAGGTAAAAGGTGGAAGAATTCTTTAACCCCCCTGATAGAACACAGCGCCTCTGTCCCTTTATCCACAAGCATGTTCCCATTTGATTTACAATCTGCAATGATCACTGTCACATCTGGGGGAAGAGAAAACAGACATCTCCACTCTTTGTTGCAGCTAATAGTTAAGTGCAAGTGCAGCACCTGATGGAGGCCCACTGATTTTAACCGCAACATGATGGTGTACTGAGCTATAAGTGCCGTGTGATGGGTTCGAGACAAGGTGACGCTTTATCTGCAGAACAGACCATATTTTCAGGTGTCTTCCAGTACTGTGTTTTTGATGAGTAAGGTTTCCAAAAATCAAATGAAATGCAAATGTGTGCAGGTCATGGAATGTTTAGGGGGACGTAAACATCAAGGGATACAGGAGTTCACATGACTGAGGCAGACACTCAGAACACGGGCCAATTCATCTGCACTATGTTGCACTGCACTGGGGTTTGGATATGTGGGAAGAGCGGAGAGGTAGGAAACTCATTCCTCCAAGGTTCGGAAGGAATTCTGCATGTCCTCCAGCAGCTGGGTGTAGTCGGCCTTGATCTTAGCTTCGCCATCCTTGACAGGGTCCTGAAGAATCCATCAAACACAAGCAGAGAGAAGAAGTTGTTTATCTTGAGTGGTGAATAATACGATAGAGAGATCATCTCATCAAATGAGAAACAATCCTGTACCTTGAACTTCATGGAGCTGATCCTGTACAGGATCTCGCCCATGTGCTCCCTGATCATGGCCCAGGTGATTTTGTTGTCGCTCTGAGCTGTGGACTCCACAGCGTGTCGGGCCATGTCGTAGAACGCGATCATGTTTGAGAGGATGCCAACAGTTTTGTAGAAAGGGCAGAACCTGTACATAAGGACAGAAGAACATGTGAAGCTTGCAGATTATGTAACGATCCAGGTGGGAAACATAAATACAGACAAGTTCCTTCATATCTACATACTTTTTCTATTGTTCGCACAGAAATCACTTGTCTTCATCTACATACATTCCAAGATGTAAAGATAATTTTGTTTTTAGAAATGTTGCTGCTCATTTGAGAACATTCCGTCTTGAAATTGACTTTTTAAAAATGTTCAATATGTCTGCCTTGTACAGGGTGTCCCCTGCCTTCACCCTAAGTCAGCTGGGATAGAGTCCAGCCCCCCGTGACCCTAGTGAGGATTAAGCGGTGTATAGATAATGGATGGATGGATGGATGGAAGTTCAATATGTTTGTTATGGATTGTTAATATGAAACAAAATGCCAAAAAGCCATTTTAGACCCTCGAAATGGGAAACATGTGTTTAATGATTTGCTTTCACCTGTCGTAGGGGGTATAACCGTTCTGCTGCAGGAAGTCATCCTTTATGAGCTTAGCCACTTCCAGAGTAATTTTATCACTCTCAGCAAGGGAAGCCTGTGAACAAAAGAACAAGATGAGCCTTGATTACCCAGGTTAGCATGCTAACAGTTTAAATTATTAATTCTACAACTCTAACAGAAGCCTGTTACAGATAAAACCAACCTACTAACTAATGGTTAAACATGTGGGCATTTCGAAAAAAAAAATGATACCGTCTGTTAGTTACTTTATGAAAGATGTTTCAGTTGTCGACAGAGTCTGAGAAAAACCCCATTTTTTAGGGTGCCAGCAGCACCTCCACTGGCATCGATACAAAGTAATCATAAACAGTGATGTCGACCTCTTGAAATGTTGCCCAATAAAAGGTCTGAGGACTGAAACGTCATTAACAAAACCAACACGCTTGTCTTTAAGATTTTTTTCTCCTGTTAGACAAACAGACCTACATGTCCCAGGTCTTTAGATCCTCCTGCACTCACAGTGTGTGTTTAGCCATCTTGTATATCTGTAACCCGACCTCACCTTGCCTACAAGCTGCACAATTTCAGCCAGGTCCTCCTCCTCCTGCAGAATCTCCTTGGCTTTTGTACGAAGAGGAACAAACTCAGGGAAATGTTTGTCGTAATATTCATCCAGAGCTCGTGTGTACTTGCTGTAGCTGATTAGCCAGTTTACAGAAGGGAAGTGCTTTCTCTGAGCCAGCTTCTTGTCCAAACCCCAGAACACCTACAAAGGAGAAACCAAAAAGACTCCCAGATACTGATACAGCCAAAGGAAGAAATGTTGATTGCGAAAGAGAGTGAAGCCAAATGTTCAGCTCAAGGGCTGAGTGACTTACCTGGACAATTCCCAGCGTGGCTGAAGTGACAGGATCTGAGAAGTCTCCACCAGGGGGGGACACACTAACAGGAATTCACCACATTAAAGGAAAAGTCAGTCTGATAACTGATACATTACACGTCTAGGTTTGTCCTATTTCTGTTACAAAAAATTTTCACAAGCAAAGCAAATAATTACATCTTAATGTGAAAGACCTTTTTAGATAATTTCCTCACCAAAGCAGTTTCAGTAATATAACATGCTAACAGAAGGACACTTGATAAGGTAAAGCTACTAATTGGGATATTTAAAGTCAATTTGCATTTCAGTATTTGCTGTGCAAAAGTTTGAAAAACTGTAAATAAACAGTACCACATGAGACACCGTTAAAAGATTGTCACACAAGGAGGACAGCATGAATTTGTAAAACCACTGGCACAACCGGTTAAATCCTGGGTCAGCTGGACTGCAATATGTACAAGGTACGGCTGGTAACTTAGACTGTCATGTAGTATATGCCTGATTATTGGACAACCCCTGAAAATTCCAGCCTCCTTGAATTAAATAAAACTAAATAAAGCATTCGTCTCATTATTTAATAGCCACACACATACACTGATTTTCTAACTGCATTGTTTCAAATGAATTACTTATTTAACCCTCAAGGTTACCAAGATAAGTCTTGCAAGTCACTCTTAAATTCTCTCAAAACTAAAGCAAAGTATAAACGTCTTAATACTGTCCAAAAAAAAGGTCTACACAAAAGTCAACTCACGCTCCTACGATGCTGACGCTGCCTTCTCTCTCTGGATTTCCCAGGCACTTAACACGTCCAGCGCGCTCATAGAAGGAGGCGAGCCTGGCGCCAAGGTATGCAGGATACCCGCTGTCTGCAGCCAACGACATTAACAACTGTAACTGGTTCACAACGTCTCATCTGCTGTCTGACCGTGTCCTTAAAAATTCTCATTAATAAATCATACGCAGCCAATGATCTCACCAGCAGGCATTTCAGCCAATCGTCCAGAGATTTCTCTCAGAGCTTCGGCCCATCGGGACGTCGAGTCGGCCATCATACTCACGTTGTAGCCCATATCTCTGAAGTATTCAGACAGTGTGATCCCTGCGGAGGCGAGTTGATGGATTATTCAAACTCACTAATAATATTGAGATTATAATAAGATTTAAGGGTGTTTTAAGTTTGAAGTCACAAGAAACAGAAAATCTATTCTTGAGGTGGCAACAGACAACTTTGCCCCCTTGTGTTTCCAAGTGATATTACTGTTGGTGCATCATTTTCTGTTCTTCTCAACTACAAGCAGCACAAAATCATTAATACCACTTAGAAAATAAGAGGCCACTGAAGAGGTCAGTGAAACAGTCCTATTTTTAAGTGGCGTGAAATCAACCAAGGAACTAAAGAAGGAGTTGGCGAGAAGAAGAAAACATTAAGTTACGTTTATTCATTCCTTTGGTCTACAATGGAGGCATGAAAGCAGAAAATAAAGGCTAAGGGCAACACCTCATTGTGGTAAGAAGCAGCCAGGTTTTGTTAGAATTAGAATAAAACTTTATTAATCCCTTCGGTACAAAAACCTCAGGGAAACTGCTAAATTGCTAAATGTTACTTAGTGATTGAGTAGAAATAACGCCAGCTGAATGTCAGTTTTGAACCCTCTCTCCATTGAGCTGGCTCACCCTTGTTTACAACTCAACTTCCATCACTCTCCCTCTTCAGCTTTTTTACCTCCTCCAATAACAGGGCTGATAGTTCTCATATTTACTACTGTTGTCTCACCGTCTGCCAACTCATCCACATGGAGAAAACCACAGATGTGTACCAGAAAAAACATCATCCTCCTCGTGTTTTGTTGCTGCTGTTGTGCTGCAAATGCACTTTCTCTGTGCCACAAATGAAGCCTCCATTTATCCAAGAGATGTCAGACTTGGTGACAGAACATAGTGAAGCAAAAATGTTGTCTATTGCCACTTGAATAAAAAACTACTTTCAAAAAACAGAAATATACATGTTGACTGTTCTCGAACGTGAATGAATGGTCGGTACCTGTATAAATAGAAGCCTCTCGAGCAGCCACAGGCATGTTGGATGTATTAGCAACCAGCGCCGTTCTCTTCATGATGCTCTCAACTTTGCCATCGACTTCCATAGTAAGCTGTTGGGCAAGAGGACAGTTAACATTACACAATATGAACACTTTTACTTTTACTCCCAAAAAATACTGAACTTATTTTTCTATGTAACGATAATATTTTCTACGCTTAAAGGGACGGTGATGCAGTTGTGCCTTTCTATTCTTCACCAACCTCAGGGAAATCCCGCAGCACTTCAGACATTTCATTTCCACGCTCTCCGCAGCCCACGTAGATAATGACGTCACTGTTGGAGTACTTGGACAAGGACTGTGAGATCACAGTCTTTCCACATCCGAAGGCGCCTGGTATAGCAGTGGTGCCACCCTGCACACATCTATACAGCACAAAGATCACAGTTTGATATATCGCTTACAAAATTTAGCACACTGCATGAAACACGTGGCTCTACACATGTGAACAGTCACCATTCATATTTATGAGTGAACAAGACTACATATAAATACATAAAGTACATCTACAACTAAGAACTCCTGCAGGTATGAAGACACACGAGTACATCATTTTCCCTTTAGTGGAACACTCACGGGAAAAGTGCGTCCAGAACTCTCTGTCCAGTCAGCAGTGGATGATTAGCAGGTAGTTTTTCTGTCACTGGGCGGATTTGTCGAACTGGCCACACCTGCATCATGGTGAACTTCTCCTTTACACCTTCAAATTCAAGCTCCAGAACCACATCCTGAGCGCAAAAAGATCATAAAGTCAGCTTTTATCAAACAGAAGAGCATTTTGCTGTAGGAGCAACACTCACAGAAAGGTCGTAGTTTCCAGGCGGGGCCAGGTAGGTGACGGTGCCTCTGTTGCGAGGTGGAAGCATCAGCTTGTGCTTGATTAAAGAGTTTTCAAACACCATGCCATAGATATCTCCCCCTGTCATGTGACTGCCAGCCTGGAGGGGGAACACATGACATTAGTCAGAGTGACTGAAGATAAGAGACAGCAAAGACCACATCAAATATTTCTTACCCGAAGGCTCTGGCCGGGGGAAAATTCCCATTTAATGTCTCTATTAAGAGCACCAATGTTTACTCCTCTTGGGATATAGATACTCTGGGTGAGGTCATTGATGTCTTTTAATGGACGCTGTATACCGTCAAAGATGGAGTTCATGATACCTGGTCCCAGCTCTACAGAGAGAGGTTTTCCAGTTCGAAGGACAGGGTCGCCGACAGACACACCAGCTGTGGCATGAAGTCAAGGGAAACAAAAAACATAAAATCTTTGACATACTTTGTTGTGAGTAAGGAGGCTGTAAGCGAAACGTGATGCTAATTCAGCTTGAAGATGAATCTTGACATGCTTTGTCACATGGTTAACCACAGACGAAGGTAATACGTCAGCAGAAAGGATACATGTCTCCTCGTAGACCTGGATAGTCGCCATGTCTCCCTCTAAACGGATGATTTCTCCCACCAGCTCACTGTGACCAACACGAACCAGCTCATACATGGCCGCTCCTGCCATCGCAGTAGCTGTCACCACTGTAAATCAAAGAGGTGTGTAGAAACAAGACAGATAAATATCGAAAATGAAACAGTTTTGAAAAATAGTTGTATCAACACAATACTGAGAAAGGTAATAGTTTAAAAATCATCAAGACACAGAGGCTATACTGCACAAACCATTTGCACTTCAGGAAAACATACTCTACTGACAGTACAATGACACTATGTACAAACTTTATGTTCAGTCAATGAATGAACATGTGAAATCTTTTGATTCAAATAATTAATACATAAGATGTCATTTTTATATATTAGTATTACCTTCAATATCATTTACAGATTTAAACCCAGATAAGCTTGATGTTGCTCAACAACGGTTCGGTGATATGAAAAATATGCACCACAAGATAATAAAAATTGTCTGTTAGAGATTTTCTACATAGTTAAAAACCAGATTCGCTCTTCCTTTTATAAATCAGGATATAATGGGCCAATGTGTGGAATATTAAAAATGAATGAGCAAGAGCTGCTTTGTGACAATATTAAAATCTGTCATGAATTTTTGCATCAAGCGATAAGTTTCCTTCATTTGTCAGGTCTTCTGATGAAAAAAATACAATCTAGCTGTTTTAGCCATATACAGTTTTTCACAAAACTCACAATATCACATTGACAGGTGACAAATTAAAGGAAAAACCAGGTGATAAATTTATAGAAAAACCAACATAAAAATGTTTTAGTAGGGTCCTGGGCCACTATTTGCTGCCAGAACAGCTTCAATTCGCATTGACATTGATTCTCCAAGTCTCTGAACTCTACTGGAGGGATGGAAAATCGTTCTTCCAAAAGACATTCCCTCATTTGGCATTTTAATTGTGGTGGTGGAGAGCATTATCTAAGACGCTGGTCGATAGTCTCCTGTCTGAGTTGACATCTGGTGACTGTGAAGGCTCTAGTACATGATTCACGTGTTTTTCATACCTATCAAACCATTTCAGTGACCAATCATGATCTATGGATGAAGACTGTGCAGGAGAACACTTCCATGAGGATAGAAATGGGTCCTAACCGTAAGAGCAAAGTGATGACCACAGCACAAAACAACCATTGGATTCCCTCCAGTATTGAGGTTTTTGTCCTTTAACTTGTTGTGGTGTATCAATATCACAATATAAAACTACACATAATGGGACAGATGCTTAACAATGACATCCAGCCATTGAAAGAGAAGGGAAATAATCCAGACCTGGTCCGGAGACCCCATGGACGTATCCAAACTGGCTCTCTCGCTCCTCATCCCGGATCTTTGGAAGTTTAGATGTGTCCATCTTGATCGTTTCTGTCCTGCCAAATCCCTTGAGGAACAATTATGAGACATAGAATTCATTTAACTTGAATACATTTAACAAACAAACCTTGTACCTCAACATCATTAATGATCACCAGGCTAAATTAACAGAGCAAATGCATCAGCTTACTTTTTGGAACACAGTGTACGTGGCTTTACACAAGGGCAGGGATGATTACAGTATGTGGGCACCATAATCTGCTAGTAGCGTAGTAACTGACAAATGAATGGCCAAGTGTAGCAGCGTAAGGTCACAAGCTAACTCAGCGAAACCCTTTCATGTATTTCACGAAATGAAGACAAAGTGAAGCAAGCTGTCTCTGTTCATCGCTGAGGATATGTTTTCTTGACAGATGGTAGCACAATGTTTATTACTACACACGCAACGATGAGAGCAAAGCTGATTTGTTCGTGTGCGCGTACAAGTCAGGTGACTAGCTAGCAAACACTAGCTATCTTCATCATCCCCCCCATACAGGTTAAGCTAAACTGTCGATTATTTACGCAATATTTGGAACAAAACCGGAAGGAAAACTGTTCTGAATACAAAACCGTGTGTCGTTAATATTAATATCTCACCTTATATTGCTATACAGTTGTCCAGGTTTGTCTTTGCCGTAGCAGGCTGAGGAGGAGCTTCTCTTTGCTAATCACCTGCCAAACACCGGACTGTCACGGGAAGAAAACATCTCCATTGTGGCTCAAGGGGCTTCCTCTGCCGCAATGCAGTTGGCTATGTGCAGATCCAATATGGCGTCTGACGGGCAGCAGTTTCCTAGTCGACGACATGTTCCGTTGGTGCATACACCAGGCGCATTACTGACCTCTGCTGGATCATAGCGAAAGGTTCGCCTGATATAACGAGCTATGGCTATCTCAGTTTTTATTTAAATAGACTAAAGAGCTATCACCTTATCTTTACAACCTTATTTTTTGGATACAGATATCACCTTTTACCCAGATAATAGCCATACACTTTACTATGATTAACTTTTATAGCTTAACTATCTCATTAATGCTTATTATAAAAACAGGCCTTCCTCCTAACAGAAAATAAAATTAAGCATTTAGACATTATCTGGATGCTCTGCGATCACTGTGATAATGATAACAATTAATCAAAAAATACACAGCAGTAGCGTTAGACTGACATGTTGCTTGCTTTGCTCTTGTCATGTGCACAGAGAAAAATGTTTCTGCACATGAACTCCAGTACATTTAGATTTTTTGAAACACATTTAAGGCAACTCTATGACTATATCTTCAAGAGGGTTATGATTTGTAGTATACAGGAGAGTTGCAAAGGAAAAGCACAAGGAGGAAGACAATGAAAAGAAGATAAAAGAAAAAAGAAGGCAACCATTGCATGATTTTCTGGATCATTTTGAAAGGTTTAATGTCATGTCCACATTTTCACATCATTTCATGGCAGCACAAAACTGTATACAGACTGTTTATGAAACCGTACTACACATACTGTGGGGCAGTGAGATGCTCACAAATTGAGGTAGCAATTACAAAATGTCTAACAGTCACATGATACAGGGAGTTGGTAAAAATGCACACTAAAAATGTTTTCGCTTTGTAATGCTGCACTCATGAATAATTTATTATTAATTAATAGGCCTTTATCACAGCAAATGGTTTGACTTGCAGTAACAAAAGCACAGATGTTATTGTTAACATTAACAGTGACTCTTTTCTATTCAAGTGTCCCAGTTCGCCATGACAGTGACAGTGAGTCTGCATGCACAATACAAGGCGTCTGAAACTGAGCCAGCAAGGTGGAATTCAACCAGTCACTGCATGTATTATTTATACCTGTGCTTTTCTTACAGGCACCATGTCAGAATGTTTTCAGTAAAGAAAGAAAAATCAGCCAAGTGCAGGGACAACTTGTGCTTTTAGGTGAGGTATGCTCAAGGTGTCAGTTTATTGGAATGTGCAGTTTAAAATGGAAAAGATAGAAAACCAATGGCTCACATTTCAACAGTGGTACAAAACTGAACATTTGATGGTCATAAAATCAATCATCTTTTTAAAATTTGTGCACAGTAGATTCAGAATATTTACCTGTTTCTGAGCAGTGTTGCAAACTATGTAGTTATTACATTTCTTCATTAAATATTAAAGTGGCAGAGCAGAATGGCTTGTTATATAGAGTCCACTAGATGGAGCCAAATAGAGAGATTCACAGGTTGGTTTTCCGTGTACTGAAGATCCAATAAAGCAAGTTGGTCAGTCTGACCACTCATTTTCATCGAGTTCAGAATCATCCTCAGAGTCACTGTACTCGACCGCAATGCGCCGGGAAAGAATGGTGGCCACGTCGTTCCCCACCGGCTCCCGCTTGTTCTGCTGTTCCTGCTGCTCTTGGACTTTCTTCAGCTGGATTCCTAAAAAGAGCACAAAAATAAAGTTAAACATTGCACCACTGTGTCGTAGGAGGTCATGCACAGAGCAGCAGATAGTTTCACCATATCTGCATTTATCTGACCAGCACAAAAAGCAGATCCCTGACTCACCCATGCGGATGGCGGACAGCAGGTCACTTCTCGCATCCCTCACAGGTTTCATCTCAGCTCTGCTTCCTTCACTGTGTAGGTGTGAGGGTGCAGCTGGGGGAGGGAGAGGAGGAGGCGGGGGACCCGGGGGAGGAGGGATCATGCGCGGCCCCGGAGGAGGTAGTGGTGGGAGCGGGTAGCCTGGGCCTACATGCAAAACTCCATTATGTGGCGTTGGAGGTAGCGCGCCGAGAGGAAAACCAAAGGCCGTCTGAGCTGATGGGATTGGTGGGCCTGGGGCAGGAGGTGGGGGTACAGAGCTGTTTGACAGAAAAAACAAAGAGGATTATGCTGCTGATGAGGGAAAAGTGATATTGTATTCGAATCGCTCTCTGATTACGCAAACAACAAACACACGTACTTGTGATCTGCAGCGAGACGAATCGAACCGTTCATTCGGTCTGCAGCGTGCAGCTCTGCAGCGGCGTAGGTTACTCTCTTGTAGTTGACATCAATGCTGTGGTATTCATGCTCCACAGGTGGCGAGGGTTCTGAGTTCCCAGGAACATAATCATGAGACTTGGCATAGTTACAAGCAGCATGGGCAGGCACTGGAGGGATCGGGTAGTCGAGGAGGTCAGGCCTGGATAAACAATGAAAGACAGAGAGAGATTCTCATGCAGACGCCGCTGCCGCAAATCCAGATGGTGGATTTATTGTTACAAAATCAAAGCTGGACATTTACACAACAAATATACTACTATTTGGATCACATGGTCTTATTCTTAGAAAAAGATCTACTCCCTCTCCAACGAACACACACACACTCAGGATTTTAAGATTTAGTATCTTTTATATTTCAGTAAAAGTAAAGTATAATCTACACTGTGATTGTCATATTAAAATACAGTCATACAATCTTTTAAAGAGGTGATAATTGGTTGAGATAATTGCTGCTTTTTGTTTTAATTTTTTCCCATTTATTCTTATTATTATCATTAGTATTATTTTATGGGGAACACATGTAGAGGCCAGAACATTTCACACATAGAAGAAAGTGTAGCTGCATCAACCACTATCATTACAAAATGTATTCAAAGTACAATTTTGGTTGCATCTCCTCCTCTGTGCAAAAAAAAAGCACTAACCTGCCATCTGGAGAGAGCGAGCCTTCAGACGACGCTCCTCTCCGGAGAGTCTGAGGATGGTGGTGATCAGGACGAAGCTCTTTATCGAACGCCATCATGTTCCACTCCTGCCTGCGGTTTCGAGCCTTTCTCACCTTCTTCACCTCACGCTGAAGGGTGCTGCTTTCCACGCATCGTTTCTGCTCCTGAGAGAGGTGGACATGAAAGACAGAGAATGAACAGGCTCTTTCTGAGGCAATATATGAAAACAAAGCAGTTGAGACGAATGTGCTCTCACCCTCTGCCTCCTCCTTTCTTTCCTCTTGTCCTCTGTGTCCTGAAGCATCTTCTCCTTCCACAAGTCAAAAAAGTACGACGGGTCCGAGTAGAACTTCATTGCATCGGTGGAATCCTCTCTGCATTTAAAACAGTAGCCAGCATATTAATTGAAGTTGTAAACTGCTTTTCGCTTTTATTGAAACATGCATGTACCTGTAGGCGGTGAGGGTGCTGAGGGGAGGAGGCCTGTTGCTGCTGTTGTACATGTCGGCCACAGAGTTGGGAGTGCTGCCCTTTGACAAAACCTGCTGGTCCTGGACAACAGAGCTTTTGAACGCTTTCCTCATGTTTATGTCCTGAAGGGAGACTGCAAAAAACAGCGAGACGGAGGATTAATATGAAGCATGTGAGGGCAAACAACAGAGCAGACAATAAGGTATTAAATTAGCAGGCAGATGCTCTCCAGTGGACTAACCCTCCTCCACGCTGGAGTCCAGCTGGGTGACCTTAACTGCCAAGCGGTCGATACGGTCCTGAAGAGAGTTTGCACGCCCATAAAAGGTGTTGGCTTCATTAAAAAGCTCCCCAAATACATTTTCTGCATGCTTACCTGCAACAGAAATGTGTCAGAGCACCATATTACGCAACACAGGAAAAGTAAAAGAAATGGACAATAGAAAAAAAAAAGCATTGTTCCAACTATCTATAGTTTTGTACATTTCTAGATCACTTATATTGCTGTGGATTATACATTTGCACTAAGTGTGTGGTTGCTGCACATTAGACCATGCAGGGCGCATGTCAAGCAGCTCAGATCCACTTAATGTGCATGCTATCATTAGACTGCCTGTGTTTGTGTCTCCGCCCACCTACTCTCCGTCTGATCTGCCCGCGATACAAAGCTTTATGGTAAGCTCTAAGCTCCTGTAACTTCACTAAATCCACACACACACACACACACACACGCACACACACACATATACACTAATCAGAGCACCAGATGTCCAGGAGTAAATTTGCTTCCTAAAATAGTCTCTCACTCTTACCTCTACGTGTTTCTCTGTCCTTCCACAGCTGTAACGTACACAACATAAACACACAGGTGTGCAAATCCTCATAGAGACGTTGCAACACTAAATTTAACATTTAAAGCCCCTCTGCTTTCTGTGCAAACTGACCGATTAGAGAGTACATCAGATAGATTTTAGTGCTGATGACGTTGCTGAACAATAATGTACACAGACTGAAACAGTTAGATGATGAATGTGTTGCCCTTATTGTCACATTCATGTTGGTTTCGTGTTAAAAGCTTAACAATCAAGAGATACTGGGATGTTATGCCGATAGTCTCTGATAATCACCTTTAGAGGATTAAGAAAATATAAGCACTCCTAACACTAAATGGATGTAAGTCAATATGTCAAATCCTCTGAGAGCCCACACGGAAATTTTATCCACTGTTGTATTTATGCCATAACGTGTGATGCCCTAAAACTTGGTGAGTTTTGTGTTGTGTTGGTCCAAATGGCAAAAAAAACTAAGATGCATAAGTAATTAGTTTTCCAGTGACTGTTTGTGAACTTGTGTCATTTTAATGCAGCGTAATTTTGCTACGAAGTCAGTACAGTTGTATTCAACTGAGGCAATGCTTTACAGATAGTTAGTGGAGGTTTTGATGGCTCAGAATGAGCCTTTGGAGGGCTGTGCACAACAGTAAGTGAGATCAGTGCACATGCAGGCAAAGTAATGAGTCTTTATAACCATATTTATCATAAATCCACTTGTTTTCCTGTTATTTTTGACTATTTCATAAATAAAGCTGTCTTTCATGATTGAGTAAATGAAACCACAATTAACAAAGCTGCTTAAAAACAAATATATTTAATCTTCAAGCGTTATTATTTTGGTGGTGATTCCCTATGTTGTTAACTCAAACTTCTTTCTCCTGTAATGATCTCAGCTTTAAAAAGCATCCTAACATTTTATGATACAAACACTGCTGAAATTGAACCACTATAATCTTACTCAGACTGCTGAGCTGACGGATGATGGCGGACAGCGTGTTGTTGGTTACACATTCCAGCTCATTGCCAATCCCATCAGGCACGGCACCGTGGCACAGGTGCCGAGGCTCAATGTTTCTCTTGACCAGAGGCATGACCCCTTCTCACATCTCAGCCACTGCACCTGCTGGGGGGACAGAGAGCAGAGCTGACAGCTCACTGTGGGCTGCAACCTGCAGAGCAGAAGTATCAGCACATTAATCCATATTCATCAAGCAATAACGTTGGTAATAAAACGTGGAGTCTAAATGCATTGGGTGCACTGACCTGTGCATTAAGCATAGGGCCCAGGTTAATGCACATAATTGCTTCTGCATTGTTATTCATTTTCCCACCGATAGCTACAGTAATGATTTCCATTACTTCTGTACGTTAACAATTTTCCAGGCGACATGAAAACGAACACTAATAACAGATATAAATTGCATATTTTTAAATAACAGCTGCAGTTCTTTATTTTACTAATTTAACATTTGCTGTGCCTGTTATCCTTTTGTGATTTGATTAATTTAAAAAGAGTGATGAAAAAAAAAGTGTAATGGACAGACAAAATCAAAATGAAACCTTTCAGGGTTTTGTTTTATTTGCTATGTTGTGCATTGCACCACTTGCTGTTGAATGTCTCAGTTTATCACCACCTGTCAAAGTGGTTCATCTATTGTATGTTACTGGGTATTTTTGTAAAGGACGTCACGTGCTCAGCAACAGCTGTTTTATTCAGAAAGCTTATTGTGATGGAAGAGGAAAGACAGGTTTTGCAATTTTTAAGCAACTCTGAAAATTACCTTGCACGCCTTTATTAAACGGATTGGAAACGAGAGATTGTCTGTGATTACAGGTAGGGGACAACTAGCACACAGGTAACAAGAACAATGGCAACTGACCACAACAACTATATTTCTATATTTGCACCATGGCGAAGAGGACAAAATGTTTAATTAGAGAGGGGAGTCCACCACAATAAATTCCACATTGTGCCATTTTTAACGAATATAAACTATAACAAGTGGTTTAAAATTCAGGGGTTCTTTCCTAATTCATAAAAAAGCTGTGCATGTTGACTTAATTTGTCTGTGTCAGTGAATCTCTGCAGACAGTTTTCGTCTGTCTTTGGTGCTGTTGCAGACGAGGATGCTTTAGCGTTTATTTTTTTGGATTTGATAGACAACAATAAATGTATATTTTTCTGTACTCAGGTTATTACTATTCTGCTGGTTACAGAGAAATCAAAAGCTTAAATACAGCGTACAGCCAGAGCCTTTTTAGTTCAATCTATGAAATGATTTATGAATTATTAAATAGGAAATAAGTGAGTATCTAAAAGGTTATTGCCAAATGCCTACTTTGTATTGTTATCCCTCTGTAGCAGCTCAGGAGGAAACATTGTCCCTGGAAGCACAAAAGTGGGATTTTCATATAAAACGACTTTACGTTTAAAGGAAAATACCCACTTGGCTTGTCTGACTGACGCTGCTGCAGCCTCACAGCTTCAGATGCACTTTAGATAATTCATTTTTGCACAGAAACTGCTTTAAGAGCGGAATCTCTGTGCAGCCAGTATGGACAGGAGGAACAATTATTAAATCAACCCAAGACAATTTTATTAATATAGCACGCTTTGATGCAGCTGGAGTTGGGCAAAGTGCTGCACATGTTATAAGATAAAAAAAACAGTTAAATGCAAAAAAAAAAGCAGGACAGAAAACAGATTCAAAACTTGTAAGATCAATGAGTGATCAAGTAACTACTATCAGTGTACAGAATGACGGCTGTATTGTTGGATTTGGGGGGGAAAAAGTGAGCATATCATGTAATGTCAGGGCATTAAATTCAACATAATCACAATTTAGAGCATAAGAATTTTAAATCTTAATGTTGCTTCGACAACTTTGTAATTTTGTTTATTTCAACTTTTTCCTAAGCTAGCTAAACAAAGTTTAGGCTGGGATATTATAAATAAAGCATATTGTGGTAGTTTAGGTATGGTGATTCAGAGGATGAGTACAGGCATCAGTAAATTTATGACGACTCCAAAAAAAAGGGTTTGTTTTCAGGTTGACATTCCCATAATTCATTGCGTGTCAGCCCCCAGAACCATAACCTGTCACCGTGTTTAAGCAAGCAATCTCATCACTTTTGGTTTTTCTTGACATAAAGTTTGAACCGCTAACAGCAGGTATTCTTTTTCCAACACATAAACACAAAACATGACACATACAACAATTTATGAGCACCTTTATGCAATACCTTAGTACACAGTTGTGTGTTTCTTACCACAGAGTGTCTGTAGCTTGTCAGTTGGTTCGACGTACGTCTTCTTTACGTCAGCACGCAGGGAAGGAGCCTTCAAAGTTGGACTCAGAGCAGAATTAAAGAGACTATTTGGTGTCCTGCTGCAGTCCTCAGTGTGCTGACAGTCATCTCTGCAGGGCCGAGTTCATTCTGAAAACAAATCTCTGGTCCAAATCACAGCTTGAGCCTCCAGGGGATTTGTCCTGCAGATTTACTCCCGTTATCCAATCACAGCCGTCATGGCAGCCGTTTGGCATCCACCGCTTTATTCCAGGATGTATTAGTGCTGTTTTAATGGACATTAGCTGCCTGCCTTCTATGAATTTGATATTAATATGGCAACTTATAATTTTTTTTTTCCAGAGAGGTACAAGCAATCAAATCAAAACAGCTCCTAATGATGAATTAACTCGTGCGTCAATCAGAACTCAATGCATAAATCTTTGAGCCTCATTAGAAAACAGTGAAAGTGCTCATCACACAAGTCAGTACATTTTATAAGCAAGAGTTTAAAAAAATATTCAGTTTATTGTCAGATACAGAACAGAGAAATGCAAATTCAAAGGTTGTGGGAAGTAGTGAACAGGTTTATTAATTTTCTGAAGATGGTCACTACAATTGTGCACAGTTGATATTTGCAAAAAACAACTGATTCGTTGTCAGCTATCAAAGTACTTGACTATATTGATCATAGATTAATCAGTTGAGTCATTTGTTTAATAGATAAAAAGTGTTTTACTCTTGTTATTGTAAACTTAAAATTTTGGGATTGTAGACAAAACAAGACATTTGACGACATCATTTTGCACATTTTTCCTTATTTTATACCATTTGGTAGAGCAGACAACTATATCAGTTAACTGAGACAGTATGGACGTAATTATTAGTTGCAGCCAAAAAGTACACCTTGTATAGTCCTTGAGTTTCTTCATCAACTGTCATAATTATTTGTCATGTTTGACAGCAGTTCAGAAATGATTGTGTGTGTGTGTGTGTGTGTGTGTGTGTGTGTGTGTGTTTTGTATAGCCTACTTCACCTTTTCTTGTCTTTTGTCACCCACTTGGTATAAACAGCAGCACGTCAGTCCCAGCTGGTCAGTTAACGTCTCAGTGGGGACGACCTGGATTAACAGTGAAATGAGACACACACCACCCACACACACACACACACACCCATATATATACAGTATTTTTTCTCACAGATGGTATAATCTGGATTGTCGCTCCCTGCCCACATCTGTAACCCAGATATGGGGGCTTAAATCTTCATAAGTGGCACACCATGAAACTGTATCTCACAGTTATTACAGGAGAATTGCTTGTTTTACAGAAATGTTGTTTAATCCAGCTATCTTGATGTAATCTGCATTGGTGGTGGGTTTTTGTATGAATGAGTTGCTGCACAAGATATTGTGGTTGGAAATAGTAATATTTCTTCCATATTGACTCAGTCTCTCTCTGCCTGATGGCAGAGAAGATAATATACAAGTACAGATGTGTAGTGCACAATCCACATAATCTGAGTTAAATCAAGAAAATGTCAGTGAAGAATATGGATTTAAAGTTGATTTCTACAGATCTAAAGAATCACAGTGGTGGCTATTGGGGGGAAGATTCTCATATGTCGAACTGCCACAGCTTGTGCCACCATCTTCTGTATTCTCATGCTTAAGGATAATAAGCTGGCTAAGGCCTACTGCGGTACAGTCGGCTACCATCGAAGCTTCAGAGCAGACTTCAGCCATCATCCCACTCTGACACTCACTAGCCTTTGACCTCTGTGACCGTTCACCTCAATGAGCAGAGGTGCTTACCGTCTATGACATGTGCAGGTCAGTGAGCCGTGACGCCATCATCACAGATGTAGAGCAGGTCACTAAGACGATGGCAGGAGGGACTCTCATCGTCCTCTTTCACCTCCTGTCTCACACTGGTTTTCACCGGATTATACATTAATTGTTTGTTTTTTTCCTCGTCTTCATTACAGCAGTGCACTTTATTCTGGCACAAGTCACAGCTCCTTGCATTGCCTCCAGCTGCTTCAGAACGCTGCTGTCTGGATGCACTAACAAATATGATCTTATTACTCCTGTACTTGTCAGTTTACACCGGCTATGTTGCTAATCACCTTTAAAGCTTTAAACGACGGCAACACTCAAAAGGTAGTCCTCTGATAATATCATAAATGCTGCAATATGTGCACAGTCTCCATGTTTTAAGTGTATGTACTGATCAGCCAAACGGTGCAAGGAGAGGAACTTGAAGTAATGGAGAAAAGTTGGGAGGTTTTAATGTGCAATGATTATTTTTGCAGTGTAGTAGCATGTAGCCATGTGGATCTAAGCCAAGTCTTTCCTCTTCACAGTGAACTCGCTGAGATAGAGGAAGTCCTGAATAAATATCTGAGGCACAAGAACCTTGTGTTCAATCTGTCGCGTCCGCAGTGGCAGGAAACCCAGGAAGCAGAGACTTTAAAAGCTAAAGTCTTGATTAACAAAGATATTCAGAATGAGATGACCGCTGAACCTCAGAAGACAGTAGATAGTGAGGGTAAGTGTGTATAAAAATGAAGTAAATAAGTGCCAGAGTGGTGCGAGTTTATCCACTGATATCTGCATTGTATGAAAAAACAAACCAGGTCAGAGCTACATCATCTTTTTGAACAAGAACGCAATACCTCAAGTGCTGTGTTAACACAGTGGAGCTCAGCCAGTGGCTCATTTTTTAAAAAGTGCTCAGAATCGATGCAGCAGAGGCTCACACATCTGGACCTACCTCTGAACTGTGTATTTAGCAGGTCTGG